TTATTTTTCCAGATTAAATGAAAAATTGAATTTATTTTGAATAATGATAATGTAATTAATCGTAAACTAGCTTTCCGCTCGCAGCTTCGCCCGCGTGAAAAAAGGGCTGTTTTTAGGATTTTCCCGGAAACTATTCGATTTTTTCTCGCCGTAAAAACCACCCTTGGATTTCAAAATACATTAAAAAAAAAGAATTGTAAAATCAGTCCAGGCGTTGTTAAGGCGCTTACCGACATTTTTATATTATAGAGCTAAAATAACTATAGGAAATATTATTTCAGGGTTCAGGCAGGTTTGCCCTTTACGGATTTTTTTTTGTATAAGTAGAGTAGTTTTATTCCTGTGTTATTAGATACAGTTTTAAGGGATTTATAAAACTCATTTATTTATGCAAGTAGGCTTTAAAAAGGCATTTTTACACGTCCCAGTATTAACCCTACCACTGCTTCAGGACAATAAATGGGCCAGTGCTGAGAAGAAGCAGCGCAAGAAACTCAGTCACTATTGTCAGGCTTTTTTTTTCAAAGGTTTACAGACTTTAAAACATACATAAAGATAAAAATATTTATGCGAGCTAGGCAGTTAAGCATCCCAAACATTTTTATCTTTTAAATAATCATCGACTTTACCTTTTTCATTAAGGTACCTACCTACTTTTAGTAAATTTAAATAATATGGACAAAAAAGTACTCGAAGTCCATAAAATATTCCGTAATTAAGTTTTAGGAATATGAAAACTATTTAGTCATACATAGGCACACTACATACCTACATATAATAATAATTAAAAACCTAAGTACTTACCTATAAAGTATTAAAATAGGTATGTAGGTAGGTACATACTTGCTACGTAGAACACAAGAGCTCGTGTCAAAACAAGTTGAGTTCCCTTTCGGATTTAAGTCTGGTGAAAAGATAATCTGTTAGCTGCAGTAAGCCTGTTGGGCAAACATTTCTATTCCTAAGATAAGCAGACGGACGACGAAGCTGGATTAAGCGCTATCCAGCGGCAACCTTCGAGCAAGATTGGCTAAATAAAGTCTATGAAAATATTTTAAAGTAACTAAGTAGGTAGCTACCTACCTATCCTAAATCCCGCAACTTTCTTCGTTTGCTTCCTTTTAATCTGGAAAATAAACTTGATTACTGTTTAATGTTTATGCTTTTTAAATTTAATGTGTTAATAATTTTTTATTTTTGAAAAACTGAAAGATTGTATCATGTAGTAAAATGAATATGTATGTATTTCAAAACATGGCATCGTTCTACCTGCGTAATGAATTATGTTAGGAGAATCGGTTTTGGAAAATAAATTAACCATAGTTAAAAAGCCTAGCATGGATTTTCGTTTTCGCGATTCGGATTAAATTAATTTAAGTGAAAACTTTTGTCCCGGTTTTAGAGGGTCCTGGGTTTAAAAAAATACATGCTTTACAAAATATCTCAATAGACTGAAAATTTGTTGCTCAAGTTCTATTACATACGACTAAGTAACGAAAAAATTGATCCATGAAAAGTTTCATGTCCCATTTTCCTTTTTTAACAGCTGAATTATCTACTTTATCCAAACAATATGTGCTTTTCCATTTTTCAGTGGTTGAAATTTACATTAAAATGTAATAAAGTAGCAGACAGCTGAATTATAAAATTCTATTCGTTTATTGCTCCTATGGAGCCTTTACATGTCACATTTTTTTTTGCTCTACCAGCGTTTCGAGACAAACATTTTGTAAGTGCTAAGAAGAAGCAGTGACAGATGGTAGCATACGTAGGTATTTAATCGATCTAAACTAATGTAGAATTATTGTAGATTCAGGATAACCCGCGAAAAAACATTCACACTTTCTTTGAAAAGGTAGGCGCAAAACCATTTTTATGCTACTTTGTTATTTTACTGTAAAAAGAAAGCCTAATAGGTACCGGTATTAATTCTGGAGATTGCAAATTAGAATAATTTATTACGATGATAATAAATTAGTTATCTTAACATCACATGTCTACAAGAAGGCAATTAGATCTCAAAAGTCGAATTTAGCCAAACTTGAAGTTCAATTGAGCTAAAATGATGTCTATTTAAAACGGTCGGCAAAAGAAAATCGTTCTTAGAGTCCATTTGGTTGTATTAAATATTTTAGTATACAGGGTGTTACGTAAATGGGTATATGAGCCGACACTAGACCATGTTAACATGGTCATATAAATGGTATGGTGAAGTCAGAAAATTGATATCTTCATTTTAATTATTTTAATTTTCATACAAATCGGATTTTATAAAATTTATTTTGTATGAAAATTAAAAAAATTAAAATGATAATATCAAATTTCTGACTTCACCATACNATGGTATGGTGAAGTCAGAAAATTGATATCTTCATTTTAATTATTTTAATTTTCATACAAATCGGATTTTATAAAATTTATTTTGTATGAAAATTAAAAAAATTAAAATGATAATATCAAATTTCTGACTTCACCATACCATTTATATGACCATGTTAACATGGGCTAGTGTCGGCTAATATACCCATTTACCTAACATCCTGTAGAATCGTTATTTTCAATTTGCTAGCTTTAAAACGCTTAATGTACCAGTTAGGTGGATTAAATTGTTTTTAATTTCATTTATCAGCCGTATTTTCGCTTTCACTTTGAATTTATTAGAATATTTGGATTATATAGGTCTACATATCTTGTTTAATATTGAAGTACCTACCTATAGCTAAACGCTGAATGAAAACTAAACTTTATGATAAATTATTATTTTATTAAACTGAACATTAAAGTACGAATTTATTTAGCATTTTTTGCAATATAATGCAATACTACGTAAATGTAAACTTTTACTTAATATTCATTAATAGGAACACCAATAAAAAGTCACTACAGTATCTAATACATTTAATAACATGCCAATACTCGAGCCAGCTACACTTCTTACACCCGGTGGGTAGGGAATGTGCTGTGCCGATGTACATTGTAGTTACTTACAAAAGCTTTTAAGGTGCTCTAACTTCATAAAATATAACGAAGTCACAAGTTTGATTCCTAGTTTGCACTCGAAACTTTAAAAAAATGGTACAGAATTTTGCATTGAAAAGCATGCATACTTGTAGGATCTATCATCCTTAGTGAAATAAGTCCCTCGTCCCTTATTAACTCGTGTTTAAAGCCAGCCAAGTTATAGGAATGCAGAAAGAACGTCGCGACAGCATTTTCCCATTTATTACTATTCTGAGGGGTTGAAACTTGAATCATACCAATTAAATCAGCACGTAGTATTTTGTAAGTTTGCCTTACTTCAGTAAGTTAATTATCCCATCTTAATAATTCTCAGTGATGCAGAGATGAGGAAAGGCGTTTGTCATAACTAACTCATAAGTTACCTTAATATTACAGGACTGAATGGCGGCCGTTGTATTGTCCTATGTATGTAGACGTTTCATAACTTGGCCAATTTTCGTCTGTATTCATACTTACCAAAAGATTTTAATTTCTTTACTACGAATAATTCGTGTGCCCCACCGGGATATCGAACCCAGGGTTTCCAGGAAAATCCACTCTCTAACTAGAACGCGAAGCTTGAACGCGAAAGCTTCAGCAATCATAAACTCTACAATCCAGATCGTTTCATCAAAAGTTTCCCGCAAAAGTTGCCCAAATTTAACCCTAAACTGCGAACGGCGTAAAGAGAGGCGATCAAAAAGAAGTGATCCACAGAACTCACGCAATACCCCACAATCGCCCGAAATCCTACAACAAACAGCGTGAAATTCCTTCATTACGACGTACAATGTCTACAGCCAGCAACACACAAATAACTCGGAGCTTCCAATTTAAATAACAAGCTTGCAAAGCTGAAAAACAACCGGTAACCGAAGTTGGGAATAAATTAGCGAGGGACGCTGTGCGCCCCCCTAGCCAGTGTGTACATTGTGCAAAATATTATTTGCCTTGCGAGACAATAATAGGATCTACCGCCCCGCCCTGACATGTTAGCTTTGGGGCGCCCCGCCCAGCGGTATCCCCGCCCTGATTGGCCAATTCCGTCCCCCCTCTCTCTCTAGCGGCTCTCCTGTCCCGCTCCCTCGTGTAGCTTTTTCCCCAACGCCTGAGGGGTAAATGTTTTGGTACGAAACATATACGAAGGTTTTCTACAGACCGGGGCATTGTCAACGGTATCTCTGGATATTTTTTGCGCGCGTTTTATTTGAAGACATCTACCTGAATGGAGTGCTAGAATTCGCTTTATGAGATTTTTTTCAATAACTACGTAACGAGTCCTTTAGGATTAAAGGATCATGGGTCGCATATATCTCTGTAAACAGTTGCCTTTGCGATACGAAAGGTCTTTATTAAATTTTTCTTTGAACATGCTCTTATGAGAATCGGATTTTTGTTATCATTCGTTTGGGGCATGATGTTTTTAACTGGTTTGTTGAACTGACTTTTTGTTCGTTTGCGACTTCATGGTCAATATGCATGCGTTAATTTTTAAGAGCAGCTGAGTACACAGACTTTATGATTAATTAATTTTTAAATATTGTTTTGGGAAGTAGATAAAACTTATCAACATTAAAATAGGTGACATGAATAAAATCCTTGTAAAAAACCTATAACCTATTGTTAATTTTAAAGATATAAAAATAAGTAAGTAACCATCATATTACACTCGTAGATACAATAAAAGCTACATGTGATAAACATTCTACTATCCCATGTAGATTTACCACAAAACAAAAAACAAACGCGTCGAGCGCAAAGCGAAAAACAAAATCCCATCCAAAATAAATACCGCAACAAAGTTGAATCGATAAGCACGAGGCGTACTAATAATTATTAGTCGGCGGCCTGAAATTCATGCACAAAGCCCGACCCGCAGTAATAATAACGACAATTGTTGTGTTTACTGGAACGTAAACGCGGCCCGGGGCGGCCCCCCGGGGGCGGGGCCTCGGGGGCAGAGCCCCGGCCGCGGCCCTCAGCCGCAGTCCACACCGCGCCACGCGCCCAAACGCACCTCTGACATGTGACACAGCATGGAAGATTGTGATCTCGCCCAATACCGCGACATGATCATCGAAGGCGATCTTCCGCTCGACCTCCGACCTCCGCCGCGGCTTTACCTCCCTCACTACCTCAGAGACGAGAGCACGGAATACCCTCAAGACGACACCTACGTCTCCGTGGACGAAGACACGCCAGAAGTCCCGCCGCCGTCCAGCGACTCCGAAAGGTTCGAGGCCTCCAGCCCCAGTGACACAAAATCCAGCTCGCCGAAGAAACCCAAACAAAAATCCTCGTCCCAGCTCATCAAGCCGCCGTACTCCTACATCGCCCTCATCACAATGGCCATCCTCCAGTCGCCGCACAAAAAACTGACGCTGAGCGGGATCTGTGAATTTATCATGACAAGGTTTCCGTACTACAGAGAAAAGTTTCCCGCGTGGCAGAATTCGATCAGGCACAATTTGAGTTTGAACGATTGCTTTATTAAAATTCCGCGGGAGCCGGGAAATCCTGGAAAAGGGAATTACTGGACGCTGGATCCGTTGGCGGAGGATATGTTCGACAATGGGAGTTTTCTGCGGAGGAGGAAGAGGTACAAGAGGCCGGCGCCGTCGTTGCAGCATGCTCACGCAGTGGTGGCGATGCTCGCTCGGGAGGCGTACGCTCCTCTGCTGCCGCTGCCGTGTTATTTGCCGCCGACGCCGCTGCTGTCGTTGCCGCGCCCGCCGCCGGCGGCGTTGCGCCCAGTCCCGCTGCCGCCGCGAGTTGCAGAAACCACCGAACCTAGAGGGAAGCGGTCACGAAATGGGTTCTCTATTGAGTCAATAATTGGATCACAAGACTCCCCAGTGACATCCGAGCCTAGAAGAAGTGCGTTTTCTCCCCTGCATCAGGGGAATTGTCCTCCAGACGACTGGGCGAGGTGAATGTACCTCAACGGGTGTGTTTCTAGTCCCTCCCCGTTTTAAGTCCGTCGGACTGAGTACCGAGTCCTCGCTACATGACTGAAGTGGTAGTTGAAAGACGTTTCAGTGATTTTAAGATGTATATTTGCCTACACGGGTATAAAGCTTCAACCAAATATCAAATAGTGTTTAGTAATAATGACCAAGCCATTGTAAAGTTACCAAATATGTTTGTTTTGTGGCAAAATGTAATTATTAATGCTTTACGCATGTTGAGTTGTTATTTACATTGGAATAATGTTATTGCGAAAGGTCGTCCGTAAAAATAAATACGAAATAAGTTTAAAATTAAAGTGCTAAAATATTATCTCTACTTTTTAATAAACAACTCTTAAACTTTCTTTAGGTAAATAAGATAATTTTGTTTAATATATTTTGTTTATTCATATTCTTTCTTTTTTTATTAAAAAGTGGTGATAAATCATAATGTCTAGTCATTTCGTGTACAAAATAGGATAAATTGTAAGTTTTTCTTGTAAATATTAGTTATTGTAGACTTTTCTAATTCTAATTAGTGGTATTGCAATAATTTATTAGTGTAGATAAATAATTATATGCTAGGGAACATCCATCTTGCAACTTGCAAGGTTTGCCTACGTTTGCCAAAATATTTCGCTAAAATAAAATGTAGTTTCCAAAAGTCCTTGAATTATAAGGAATTTGTACATCAAAAAATAATTGTAAGATGTATTTAAACAGTACAATTGTAGTATATTTTTGTGTAATAACTTATTTTTAAGTGATAAATATAAAAATATTACGAGAAAACGTTTTATGATTTTAATAACCCTGAAGAAAAAACTATTTTCGTATTATTAACTTTTCTCAAAATATCACAGATTAATAAGTATTAGTATCTAAAGCAGTCTTGGTAAAATGATGTACGAGTTATACAAATAGTTATTTATTTAATTGTAGTTTCTTTAGGTAGGTACTCGTACATGTTTACAATGTCATGACATCGTTAAAATACAGAAAGGTGGTTAGAGCCATTTTTGGCTAGTACCTAGCTGCACAAACAATCTTTTGACTTAACACTTTGTTAAGAGGTTCAAATAGTGACTCCTTCATAGATTTTGTATATCACTCATTTTCTAATTCAATGAACTATTGAAAATAAATTACATAGAAATATCTCAATTCAAAAGAAAATCTGATTGGGTTGGAGAAAAAATATCTAAGAAAAACAAATCATTTTTTCCTAACATACGCCCGCGGCTTTGCCCGCCTAGATATCACAGATCACAAGATACCTAAAGACAGACAGACTGAAGTTTCAGTAATAGGGTCCCGTTTTTACTCTAGGGGTATGGAACTGGAACCCTAAAACTTATGTTGTAGGTACTAGATACTTCACCACATACTCGTATTTCAATGCACACTTGACCATATTATAACATTTGGACAGCTGAAAAAGCTTACACAAATGCAGCATTTATTTTCTGTTATTGTTATTACACCATTTAGTGACATTGACAGTGACCTGTTGTCTGTGTAAAATAAATAACGAGTAAAAATAACAATTATTAACATATGACATAAAAGGTACATGCAATTCCATGCTCATGCGCACATGTTCTTTGAAATAAAATTCAAAGAGCATTTAGGTTTTTTATCTTTTCCTGTGCAAATGTCAAATTAAATTATAATATGTGAGCGGATACTGCATTCTACCTATTTAAATTTAAATTGAAATCGTTAAAAATGTATTTGAAGATACATTGAAAAAATGCAATTTTATTGACTCTACATTATGTTTCAAGATTAGGTACGCTCGCTCGCCGGGTGAAGCTTCCATCTTCGGCGTGAGCATCACTTTCTATCAGGTGAGATACAGGTAGCTTCCTAGTTGTGGATAAAAAAAATGTGGTGTAAGTTATTTTTACTTGAAAATGTGAGGTTTTCAGAAATGAATTAATTTGCCTTTTTATCCCCAACTAGCGGCCGCCCGCGACTTCGACGCGTGGACCCCGGTTTACCCCCTTAGGGATTGAATTTTGCAAATCTCGGTAAAAACAATCCTTGGACTTCAACGAACATTAAAAAAAAGAATTGGTAAAATTTTATTTTGCGATTCATTTTCCTATTATATGTAGATAACAAATCGTGTATGTTTGTTTTCTGCTTAGAATCTGATTTTGAGAAAAAATAAGTTTTTTTTAATGATAATATGGCCCTAACGATTTTTTATACTTTTTTTATTTAAACCACTTGTTTGATTAGGTACTTTAACTTTTTTTGTAATAATTTATTATTTTGTTTACTTAAACTCGTATCTATCTAAAAAAAAATTAAGCGGCTTGAAAGAGGGATATCAAGCCACTTGACTGAGTGACTGTCAAAGTTTCAAGTGGAAGAATCATTTTTTTAAGTCACAAAAACGTTTAGTTGTCCCATTCCTTATCGCGATAACATGTTGAAATCTTAATTTTAAGAAACCTTTGAGTCCTCCATAAATCAACTCGGCAATATTAAAATAAATTAAATTAAAGCCAATACAATGCTCCGTTCATCTCTTTTAACAAAACATAGCTCGAGTCGAATTGGTTTCCAGAACGTGTCATAAAATGTTTATGTTACGGCACACGTTTGTAACAGTTTTTTGCTGCTTGTCAGATATGAAAAAAACAATAACAAGTTACTTTTCTTCCATCCACCATCAGAGCGAAGGGAGATTCATTTTGGTGTGAAAAAGATAAATTTTTACATAATTTACAGTAGGTATACATAATTATTAGACGCTCTCCTACACGGGCATTTATACGTTGAACAATCCGATAGTTTCACAAAAATGTTAAATCATACGTTTTTCCAATGAAAAATCAATATAAATTTTGGAAACATGTTACAACTCATTTGACTCTACCTCAATTTTCCAAGTCAAGTCTTCATAGACTCAAATGGTCGGTGCAGGCACAAGATTGTTATTCTAGAAAATAGTACGGGGAGATCATAAATGTTCACCTATTACTGAAATGATGATGATGATTCTAGAAATTGTATGCTAAATCCGCTTGAGAACTGATAAATCCTGTATCGGTATAATACCATGGCTCCACGGTATCATTACAATGATGAAATTGACTGAAACAGAGAGTAAACTGTCTCAGTTATCATCATCATTTCGCTTTTCAAATATAGAAAGTTCAGACATTACTAATGCATAATCATCATCATATCATCAGTCTCTACTGTTGGATAACTACCTACCCTGTCTAATGAAACAGAAAAATAATAAAATATTGAGGTTTTCACTTACCGTGGATGTTTTTTTGCAGTACGTTCCCGTTCCCTAGTTTCTATTTTTGCAACAGTTTTCATAAATTTTCCTCTTTTGTTGATGCTACTATAATATAACCCAGCCTCGATGAATGGAGTAATAATAATAGACAACCGAATAAATAAACTTTATGATATTTAAAAAAATATCTGCGTAAATAACTTTTCTTCTCAACGGAACCCGTAGCAAATGGTTTTTGTAGATCCGTCCCCAAGGTGACCCTTCACAGCTGCCAGTATTTCACATACCTACCGTCCCATGCATTACGTAAAACAAAAGTTGGAACATTTGCAGTTTGTTTGCGATTTTAAAATTGTTTTAAGAGTGCAGACTGTATGATGTTTATTTAAACGATATTTACAGATGTAAGAATGACTCAAGCGGCTAGTTTAATGGAAATTGTGGTTGGTATTTAATATTTAATTGACTTAAGTATTTTGATGTTATTTTGTGTCCCAAAGTGCAGTAAAGTGATGGTAAAAAGTGCAACGAGAGCAAAGAATCTTGCTATGAGCCTAATAGCGTATTAAAATCAAATGAGAAGACGTCTCTACGAAATTCATGAAAAATCAATTAGAACTAAAACACCCAATAACAAAAAATATAGATAGGTGGATAAACACTTGATTGTACACTACACAAAAGAAGAAAGGAAATATACTTGCATATTTATAGAGATACCTACGTTTTTGAAACGGTTCAATTTAAAATACTTAGCTGAAAGGCATACAAACACTCGTACTTACGTAATGGACATAAGTACATTTTTATGATTGTAAGTAGTTAGTATTTTTTCGTGGTAAAATAAAAACACTGAAAATATACACACAACTTAGAAACGGACTGAAAAGCTATCTTTTCCCGTAAAAAACGAGACAAACATGACAAAAATATAATTAAGTCAATAAAGTATTTTAAACCAAATTAAAATGGAATAGTAATAAAACTACGGTATTCTACGCGGTACGGTACGGTAAACTACGGTATAGCAAAATTTACTGTGTAATATGCTATTTTAGTAATCTCTACATAATATGTTTTGTTATTATTATATTCAAGACATACGAGTACGTACCTCTATTGAAACAACTTACCCTAACTCCAACTTATCAATCAGAAGGCCTGTTAAATCCTTACTCGAGTTTGTATCCTTTATGCAAACACACGCGGGAGGCGAACTAGGCCTGTGAGCCGGGCTTAGCGCGGAGAGGATTACCTGCCAGATAGCTAGCTGCGAATTACGTCACGGGTCCTAGGTGGGTGGTCTGGGTGAAGGAAAAACCTTTTTGACCGGCTAGACTTAGTAAAAATAAAGATCTTTATCAGTAGAAATGTCTAGTACTAAATGTATTTTTAGTAGCTCTTTTTATGATGGGCACTCAGACATTATTTTTTAATGTTTCATTCTAAAACTCGAGTGTGGTAATTAGGCAAAACCTCATAATATTTTGGTAGGTATCAATGCATAAATTGTCTTTATTACTCGCTTACTTCAGAGGGAGTTGGGGGAGGCCTATGTTCAGCAGTGGACGTCCTATGGCTGAAATGAAGATGATGATGACTCGCTTGCTTTACTTAATATTGGAAAATAGTAACTATCTATTTATTTTATTAGTATGAGTAATGGTTTATTAAAATATAAGAGTCAACAAATAAAGCATGCTATTTGCAATTTTCATTTAATTTCGGAATCAGAAATGTTGCAAACGTTTTAATTCCTTACATAAGTTTTTTTCTATTTCGTTCAGTGTGCCTACCATGAGTTTACGTTAGGTGTGCTCGCTAGCGACTGCGTAAAAAAATGACATTTAAATGTATGACATATTGTGCAGCGCCCCTAGCGGCTACTTTCAAGAAATAAAATCTTCATAGAATTTTTTGACGTATTCGCTAGCGAGCTCACCTAACGTAAACTCATGGTAGGCACACAGTTCACTCTCATCCGACTACTTGTAATGTTGATAAGTGTCTTCTATCTTCGTAAGTAACATCTTAATTCAGTATAACCTGC